AAATGGTTAAGACTGAAGTGTAGCTCAGTGGCAGCTTGTGCTCAGCATGCACAAGGCCCCCGGTTCAATCGTCAGTCCCAAAAAGGAATTAAAAAAAATGGTACAAAGAAATACCACGGATGAGAGCAGAGTGTAGGAATCCTTCCCAGTCTGTCACCATAGGAAAGGTTTCACGAGAAGAATGAACAGGCTTCTTTATGTGGAGACAGAGAGAAAGAAAAATTACCTACGTGGAGCAACGCAGTCAGGAAAGGCCAGGGTGGATCACACAAGAAGCACAACCCATGTTGATGACAAGGGAAGCCAAGCAAGCTGCTGGTCCTCAGCTGTGTGAAATGGACCCTTTGGGAAGGACATTAGGAGAGTAGTGTGGTGGTGATTTTGAAACCCCTAGGCTGAGCCTGGTCATCTTTCAAAGGCGTAAGGAGCCATTAGAGGTCTGAGCCAAAGGAGCAAATGTGCGCTTCATATTCATAAGACTGACTTGACAGTATTTTGTAGCGTCAATGAGAAAGGTCAGAAACACACCATAGCCGGAAAGAAGCCAGACCTGAGCTCACTCCACATATAGTGGTGTGCACCTATATATAGTCCCAATTATTTGGCTGCTGAGGCAGGAGGATTGCCTGACCTTGCCTCAGTCTTTCAAATACCAGGATTACAGGTCTCTGCCCACACCTGCCCCACAGTACTGGTATGTGAGGTGAGAGGACAGTGCTGGATAAACACAAATATAATAAGATATAGTGTTCAGTAGTCTCTCCTTCTTTTCTCTCTCTTCCCCAAGATCGTGAGCTAGCTCTTCAGAGTAGGAGCTTTGCCTGCCTCTCTGGTTTCTCTGTGCTAGACAATGTCTGACATGGAAGCTCTGAGAAAGATGTCGTCTTCTCTCCCACCCCCCTCCCTCTCTCTCTCTGCATTTTATTAATTCATTTCATGTATTTGTTTGTTTATTACATGCCAATCCCAGCTCACCCCTTCCCCACCTCCCGCCCCGCATCCACTCCTCAAAGAGGGTAAGGCCGCCCCTGGGAAGTCAACTAAGTCCATCTCCATCTCCTCATTGAGACCGGACCCTCCCCCTCCCTCCCACCCCACCCCCATCCCACGCCTAGGCTTAGCAAGGTGGGCTCCACAAAGTCAGTTCATGCATTAGAATTAGATCCTGGCCCCACTGCCAGTGGCCTCATATACTGCCCAAACCACACTCTGTAGTTTTTTTTCTTCTCTGCAGTTATTTTTTTTAAGATTTATTTATTTATTATGTATACAGTGTTCTGCCTGCATGTATGCCTGCAGGTCAGAAGAGGGCACCAGATCTCACTATAGATGGCTATGAGTCACCATGTGGGTGCTGGGAATTGAACTCAGGACCTCTGGAAGAGCAATCAGTGCTCTTAACCTCTGAGCCGTATGGATGTCTCACTGGTAGCTTTAACTCTTTCCTCTAATGAGGAAAGCCTCTGATGAGTGGCAGAGCGGCAGCATGTGGGGCTGGGGCTGGATGAAGGAACTTGGGTGACACAACTAGGAACAGCTGTGTCCAGATGTGCGCCCGGGAGATCCCCATATGCTTCTGTGCTTACCCGAGGGCCATCAGTTCTGTGGGTCTGGACCGCTCTCCTGTTCTGCCTCTCGTCCCTTATTTAGCCTGCTTATCTTTCAGATTCAAATACCACTGACTTTTCTGCCACGAGGATGTTCTGAGTAAACCCAAGGAAATGTATTCTGTGTTTATGTTCCTCTCCTCATTAATCTCACTCAATCGTGATCAAAATAAAAACAAGGGTTTTGCGCATCCGAGTGCCTTTTCCAAGTCTGGTGGGAAACGGTCATTCCGTGTTTGCTGGTGTCGAAACCCAACAGGATGGCAGAGCTGCAGTTAGAGGACTGAGGTTTTGGCAAACTCCTTCAGCCTGGCACAGAAGTGGCAAGGACGATCTGGGGAAAGAGCAAAGACCTGCCGGTGTTGGACTCTAGCGTCCAAACACCGAGAAGGAGTCGCCCCAGAGACCATCTCATATACCACAGCCGATGTAAAAGCATGAGGATTTTATTAATTCTGTCATGACAGGGTCCCTCAGCATTCGAAAAGCTGAGAGACCTCGAATAGCTGGTACAGTCTACTTTTAAAGGGGCCACGGAAGCAAGGGGGGTTGTTCTTTGACTATTCTGATTGGCTTATTCGAAAGGGCTATTACCAATAATTGACTGGAGAGCTGTTGCCATATCAGATGAGGTAAGAGGTCATTTTGACCCCGTTTCCCAGGGGAACGAACCAAAACATACGTATATGGGTAATTGTTCAGGAACTGAGTACGTGCAAGTGTAGTTGTTAGGTCCTTGGTTCCCAGGGGAGGAGGGGAAGCACTATGGCACAGAGGCTGAGAGGATTCAGAATTGTCAAAAATGGCTTCAGGATTGTCTTAAAGTCTTACATTGGCTGGCAGGCAAGCAGACTGCACTAGTAGGGGATTGTTATCTTAGGGAAATCTAAGATGTGTTTTCCCTAACTGGGAAAACAAAGATGAACAGTTCGCGTATTTTGTGGGAGAAATATGATTTCTTTAAGTAACTTTTAAATTTTTAAATTATGCATTTTTATTTGTTTTATACACATTGGTGCTTTGTCTGCATGTGTATCTGTCTGAGGGTACTGGATCCCCTGGAACCAGAGTTACAAATAGTTAAGAGCTGCCATGTGCGTGCCAGGAATTGAACCCACATCCTTTGGAAGCATTGGGGGTCGTCAGCATCATGCCCTACTATTCCAGGAGGGCTGAGGTGGAGCGCAGGTCCTCGTACTTGAGCTGAAACCACTTTGCCCACTGAACCATCTTCCTGGTCTTGCGTTCTCAAGTTCTGTGAGAACAAAACAGGTTACTGGGACTGACTGGTGAGATAGCTCAACCAGGAGGGTAATAAACCCAGTGGGGGGGGGGGAGGGGAGCCATGCAACCTAGTCTCTGATCAACGTATGACCACCTGTCTAATGGGTTTCCTTGGGGTAAGGCACCTGTGGAAATGGAGTCTCACTTAACAGGGACCAGCAGTCCACACAGGGCAGCGTAGGAATTTCCAAAACTCGTGCAGCTTGCAGCCTATTTTCCCTCTCATTATATTGTTGATTCTTTGGGCGGTTTTTAGTTTTTCTTTGTCAGTCACACATGCAAGAGCTGTAATTTCCCCTGGAAAGTTTGCCCTTTCTCAGATATTTTCCCCCTTAGATTCAACAGGGCGCTAAATGTTTCTTAAATCTCTTATCTGGAGTTACCAACTACAACGCCCGATCCTGGGAACTTTTCTGACTCAGTAGAGATAGTTATGTACATACGAGAAGGCAACACTTGGGACATTAACCATGTCTCACACGTCTGGAGAGGAGATAAGGCATGCAGACCCAGAACTGGGGGAAAGGCTCAGGAACGCGCACAGTGCCAACTGTTGGAGTAAGTTCCCTGGGTACCAAGCATAGAGAAGCAATGATAGGACCTAGTACATTCTGATGGGAATCATGCAATGTAAAATGTGGGATGGATAGATCCCTCTTTACCATACATGGGAGCTTATATTGGTGGGAGAAGTATGGCATAGTGAGACAGGAGAAAGGATCCTTAGTCAATGCCTGCTTTTACAGAGAGATTGAGACATGGAACCCTCTTGAAAAAGCCGTAATAAAAGCATATCTTGCAGACCCAAAAGTATTATCTGGGTTTGCATATTGTTTTCCTCCAAGCATTGTGCCCATATCTATTATTTCTTGACTTTGTAACCGCAAGTAGCTGCCAGCTGGCGTAAGTGCTATGAGAGCAGGATGTGTCTGGCTCGATATTTAGTTAAGCCTGCAAAAATGCTGAACTCTGTGTGTAGAATAAGGTTATGCAGGGGTCGGGAAAGTGTATTGGGGAAGTATAAAGGGGAACAATGGGGGCTTTCATAATGGTCACAATGTATCCGTAACTTGTGATGTATTTCATAAAGTCAAAAATAGAAGCCAGAAATAAAGCTGTTCGCATAGCCCTGGTATGAAAAACTGTTTGAGTATAAATAAAGATGGCCTGAGTCGTTGAGTGCAGGGATGGTGATGCCTCTAGAAGTTTCCTTTATTGTACAGGATTTGACTATCCTGTTTTTTTTTTTCATATGAAGTTATGTATTATTTTTTTTGAGGTTTATGGTGAGTGCACTTTTTTTTTTTTGATGAGGGCACTTTTTGAAGAGATCACATTCAAGTGGCAGGAAAATGCAGACAACAGAAAAGGTTATAGTTGGGAAGGGTGCGCTTTGGCCTCATCCTTGTCCTTTCTCCTCAGTTCTTTTCAGAGGCAACGACTGGTGTCACCTACTGTGAGCCCCTGCAGAAACACTATGCTCAGGGTGTGTGTAGCTGACACACATTCAAGCAACTCAAAATGGAGCAGTTCCGAGTACTTAAGGAAGCAGTTAGGACTTTATAAATAAAAGCTGCACAGGCCAGGTGTAGTGGTGCACACCTTTGGCCCCAGCACTCTTGAGGCAGAGGCAGATGGATCTCTACGAGTCTGAAACTCGTCTACATAGTGAGTTCCAGGCTAGCCAGGTCTACCACAGGGAAACTCTGCCTATAATAATTAATTAATAGTACACAGGTAAATATAAAATATTATTTTTGGAAGGAAAAGCAAAGACTAAGCAAATATATTATAGTTAGTTTCTAATAATCTCTTGGATCTTTAGAATCAGCCCAAACTTGCCGGCTTTGTGTCAATGGGAATAGCCCCTTTCTTCCTCTCCTCCTCTTCCTCTCCTTCTCTCTCTCCTTCACTCCCTCCCTCCCTCTCTCTGGACAGGATTTTGTTTTGTAGCCCAGGCTGGCCTGTTCCGGAACCTGTGATCCTGTTTCCTCAGGCTCCCCAGTGCTGGGTTACCAGCTATGCACTGGCGCACCTGACCCTTTCCTCATCTTGACAGCAGGAGAAGGTGAAGAGACCCCTTGACTCGGCCTCTGTCTGTCTCTCCAGGTTATCACTTACTCCAGTCGCCATGTCTACAATAACTTGACTGAGGAACAGAAGGGCCGAGTGGCCTTTGCTTCCAACTTCCTGGCAGGAGATGCCTCCCTGCAGATCGAGCCTCTCAAGCCGAGTGATGAAGGCCGATACACCTGCAAGGTGAAGAACTCAGGACGCTATGTTTGGAGCCACGTCATCCTAAAAGTCCTAGGTAAGGGAGGACCCCAAGATAAATGCCTGCAAATTATGAGGTATTGGGGGTGGGAGGGCATAGCCAGCTGCAGATGGTAATAAAATCACCTCTTTAATTCTTACAGAGCACACTTAGACATCAGCAGGGTCCAGTTCCCACAAAGAAAACATAATTATAACTCTGTGTGTGTGTGTGTGTGTGTGTACATGTGTGTGCTATAGCTTTCGTGCGAAGGTCAGAGGACAACTTTCAGGACTCACTTCCCTCTTTCCGTTGTTGGTTCTGGGGACTGAACTCAGGACTCCAGGCTCGCAGAGCAAGTGCTTTCACCCACTGAGCCGCCTTGATGACCCATAGTTATGATTTTCCCCGGGTAGCTCATTATAAAATTTAAGCACCCTCTAATATTTGAATAATTTCCTTTGACTATTTAAATAATTACTTCCAAACTACTGATCTTCTATCCTTGTTCCAATATAAGTTAGAATTATATTTAACTTTCCTAAAATTCCAGGTAAATAACAGCGTTTGTTTTTTTGAAACATGGCATGGGGCTTTCTGAGGCACTGCAGGTTCCACCGCTGCTGGTAGCAGCTAAGGAATGCCCGGGAGAGGGACCGAGAGAGGGCGACTGGGCTTTAGGAAGGGAAACCAAACAAAAATTGGCAAAATGGATGGCTAAATAAACAGCCTCTCAGGGTGTAGTTCTTCCACTGACTCTGGCATTAGGAGACCCTCTGAACGATCACATTTTTAAAACAATTTTTTTTTCACCAGTGAAACCATCCAAGCCCAAGTGTGAGCTGGAAGGAGAGCTGACAGAGGGTAGCGACCTGACGCTGCAGTGTGAGTCGGCCTCGGGCACGAAGCCCATTGTGTATTATTGGCAGCGGATCCGGGAGAAGGAGGGAGAGGATGAACACCTGCCACCCAGATCTAGAATCGGTAAGTCATCTTCCTGTCCGTCCTCAGGGCCAAAAATATAATACAGTGGCCATGACTTCCAAATTTGCCGGGCCAGCAGCACACCGGATGCCCTTGACCGGGCTGAGGAATCTCCTTTCTGTGTGGTTGTCAATGGCTTGCTTTGCTCTGGTTTGGGTTGATTTGGGGGTTTTGGTTTTTGGTTTGTTTGTTTGAGGCAGGGTCTCCTATAGCATCCTGTCCTAGATTGCTTTTCTGCTCTTGTGATAAAACACTATGACCAAAAGCAGGGAGGAGAGGGGTGGGTTTGTGTTGTCTTACGCTTCCAGGTCACTGTCGTCTTTGAGATGACAGGCAGGAAGTCAAGACAAGAACCTGCAGGCGACCAGGCTGTGGTGGTGCACACCTTTAATCCCAGCACTCAGGAAGCAGAGGCAGGCAGATCTCTATGAGTTCGAGGCCAGCCTGGTCTACAAGAATTAGTTCCAGAACAGGCTCCAAAGCTACTAAGTAAGATCCTTGTCTCGAAAATTAAACAAACAAACAAACAACCTGCAAGCAAGGAACCATTCCCGGGTTAGAGTCAGGTTAGGGTTAGGAACAATGCTTTCTCTCTCTCTCTCTCTCTCTCTCTCTCTCTCTCTCTCTTTCTCTCTGAATATGCTTAACTAGCTTTCTTACACAGTCTGGGCCCTCCCACTTAGGGATGGTGCCACCTGCAGTTACCTGAGCCTTCCTCCTCCGACATCAACCATCACCATCGATCGAGACAGTCTTTCATAGACACACCTAGAAGCCAATGTAATCAGTTGGGGGTTTCTTCTTCCCAGGTGTGTCAAAATGATGATCAGAAACCAACCAGCAGAGGTCTACTCTCAATCAGATCAGATGTAGGACCTTCTGTAGGCCAAGCTGGCCTTGAATAACTGATCCTTCAGCCTCTACCTCGTAGGTGTTGCCAATACAAGCATAGGCTACCACCATGTCCAGTGTGAACCTTTCTTGCTGCTATTGTTTGTTTTTTGAGACAGGTTGTCATAAAGCCCAGGTTGACATAGAACATACCTCATAGCCAAGGGTGGTCTTGTATTCTGGACTATGTTGTCTCTGTCTGGCAGATGCTAGGTTACAGGGACTTACCAACATGACTGGATACTGTTAAATCTCTTGAATTTTGTTTTCTTACCTGTAAACTGAATCAGCAAAACCCTACTTCTTTCTTCAAATGTCATAAAAGTGAAAGCTGGGGAAATGGACCACATAAACTACTGTATCTAAACCATTGAGGATTCACTGACTGTTCGCCATCTTTTTTTTTTCCTTTTGGCTCTGCACCAGAGATTGGACCGAGGGACCTTGTACATGCTCCCTGCCTGCCTCTGATAGAATCTCAGGAAATTGCTAGAATAGCCTTGAACTCCCTCTGCAGCCTGTTAGGCCATAAATGGGTGATTCCCCTGCTCCACCCTCTCAAATAGCCACCAAGCCCTTTGATCCCAATCTTTTGTAACTCTTGATGTTAAATTAACAATTTTATTAAATATTAAAGTAATATTTACCCATTTCCTATGTTTTAAAACAAGATCTTTTCTCTTTCCATTCCATTTGGCATTATCAGTGATGCGCGACAGTAAACGATATAGACCCTGTCGTGGAGGAGACTTATCATTCTGCTTTCTGCTTGTATAGATTACAACAACCCCGGCCGAGTGCTGCTGCAGAATCTCACCATGGCCTCCTCTGGGCTCTACCAGTGCACAGCAGGCAATGAGGCTGGAAAGGAGAGCTGTGTGGTACGAGTGACTGTACAGTGTGAGTATCTCAGGGTTGGAGAGAAAACCCAGCACCTCGGGCATGAGAACCAGCCTTCTACCACGGAGCTAACTCCCCAACTTTCCAAAGGGGATTTTGTTTCTTTGTCTCATTGAAAATTCTTTGGGTTTTTTTTTTGTTTGTTTTTTGGGTTTTTTTGTTTGTTTGTTTGTTTGCTTTTTTCGAGACAGGGTTTCTCTGTGGTTTTTTTGGAGCCTGTTCTGGAACTAGCTCTTGTAGACCAGGCTGGTCTTGAACTCACAGAGATCCGCCTGCCTCTGCCTCCCAAGTGCTGGGATTAAAGGCTGAAAATTCTTATTCTTGCATCACAAGTTTAGTCTAAAATGTTTTACTTATGATAAAAGTAAGGTCAAAGTCTTTATTTCCAGAAGAACATGATTTTGACTGGTTGTATGGCTACCAATGTGAATTAGCCAGCTCTCTGAGCGATGGAGCTGGGAATTTGGCTCATTGGGCTAGCATGTGCTAGTCAGCACCATGCTCCTGTAAACACACACACACGCATGCACACATGCACAGACTTGGGTAAGGTTAGAGATACACACATACAATCCCCGAGTTTAGAAGGTAAAGCAGAATAATCTGGAGTTCAAGGTCATCCTCCACTACACACAAGAAGTTTAGAGTCGGGCTGGAAAGATGGCTCAGAGGTTAAGAGCACTGCCTGCTCTTCCAAAGGTCCTGAGTTCAATTCCCAGCAACCACATGGTGGCTCACAACCATCTGTAATGAGGTCTGGTGCCCTCTTCTGGCCTGCAGGCATACACACAGACAGAATATTGTATACATAATAAATAAATAAAATATTTAAAAAAAAAGAAGTTTAGAGTCAGTCAGAGCTATATAAGACCCTGTCTCAAAAAACCAACATCAAAACGAAACAGCAGGGTCAAGTGTTTTGATGCATCCTGTAACCCTAGCACCAGGGACGCTATAACAGGGGGATAGTGAATTTGATGCCACCTTGGGCCACTTGATGATAACATTTTTTTTTTAAAGAAAAGAACCAGGTGTGCCAGCACTCGAGAGGCAGAGGCAGGTGGATCTCTGAATCTGAGGCCAGCACTCAGGAGGGAGAGGCAGGCAGATCTCTGTTAGTTGAAGGCCAGGATGGCCTTCAAGAGCTAGTTCCAGGATAGGCTCCAAGAGCTACAGAGAAACCCTGTCTTGAACCCCCCCCCCCCCCCCGCTGCAAAAAAAAGAAGATTTATTTACTTATTTTATATATAGGAGTCTCTATCCACATGTACACCTTTATACCAGAATAGGGCATCAAATCTGCTATAGATGATTGTGAAACACCCTGTGGTTGCTGGGAATTGAGCTCAGGACCTCTGGAAGAACAACCAGTGTTCTTAACTGCCGAGCCATCTCTCCAGGTCCAATCAATGGTCTTAACCAGCTCTAAAGCTTGTAGTCCACAAAAATGGCAGCCTGCCAAAATATCTTCCATGGTGCAGCAGGAGCACTTTCATCTGGGGGATTACCAACCACTGTGGTGGGGACACACACACACACCACACACATGTACACACACCACACACACATGCACACATACCACACACATACACCACACACACACTGTGGCGGGAACACATGCACACACCGCGCGCGCACGCACACACACATGTGCATGCACACACACATGCACATACCACACACATCCGCATCACACACACACTGTGGTGGGGACACATGCACACACCACACACACGCACACACATGATGACAAAGGCATCATAAGCCAAGTTACAAAGTAAAACAACCTGAATACTTGTATTTATTTCTGTGTAACAAATTGCCCCAAATTTAGTGACTTAAAAATTTTTGACTCTTGTAGGGCCCAGGGCAGCTTGGTACACACCTGCCAAGACAGGCTCTATAGACACCAAAGGGAAAGTAGGCCTGGTCTCACTAGTTTACCCTAAAGGCAGTACCTGGTTCCGAGAAAGATCAGAAACTGAGACCACTCAGCAAGGGACCTTCCAAAGGAAATTCCTAACATTCCAACTATTGTAGATAGGATCACCTGACGTCCCTTAGCCCAGCACACCTATCCCCCTACACCAAGGCACCCCTAGACAAATGTCAGCCAATCTGGGGTCCTGAACCTTAGAAATCCCTCACCCCAACTTCTGCTTTTATTAAAAAAAACAAAAAAAACAAAAAAACACCCCAACTGAATCCAGGGCTCTGTGATCCATGGCAAAGTGTTGAACACACAGAGTCCTGAGTTTGAATTTGAATAAGAATAAAGGCTCTTAGCCAGGTGGTGGTGGCGCACGCCTTTAATCCCAGCACTTGGGAGGCAGAGGCAGGCAGATCTCTGTGCGTTCGAGACCAGCCTGGTCTACAAGAGCTAGTTCCAGGACAGGCTCCAAAACCACAGAGAAACCCTGTCTCAAAAAAAAAAAAACCAAAAAGAAAAAAAAGAATAAAGGCTCTTTGCTTTTACATATGGGACTCAAACTCCTTGTTGCTTTTGGGGGGACTCTGAGGTCTGGGTTTACAGAAACTCTCAGTTTCTGTAAGTCTGAAATTCAAGAGTGGCCTAGCTAGGAAGTCTCACACTCTCTTCGGGAGAGGTTACAGTTACACATCTGCCCTGCACACATCACAAGACCCAGATGCTGGAGGCTAGCCCTCTGACACGGCTCCCTGTGGCTGCCGACTGGCCTGAAGCAGTCATTGGAGTTCTGGAGACTTGAGAGCTAAGACGTGCAGTGATTCTGTGGAAGCAAAGCCTGAGCTGTGTGTTTTATTTCCAGCAGTGAATCACGGACTAGCAAGGGTGTTCGGCAGATAAAGGCTATTGGCACCAAGCCTAATAGCCTGAGCTCGGTGCCCAGGACTGTCTGGTGGGAAGAACCAACTCCCTCTAGTTGTCCTGTGACCTCCACAGGAAGGTGCAGTGAAGCATTCATACCCAGCCCCACCCCCCTCCACACCACACAGGCCACTAGTTAATGCAGAAGCTGTTAAGATGCTAAAACTGGTCCAAAGAGCACTTGAAACCTTAGATTAGGGACAGAGACACTTTAACTTGGAGATTGTGAAGATCACTGGGGTAGGCAGCAACACAGTTAATGTTCTTAAAACCACGGGCTGTGGTTTCTGCGGTCACTGAGTCTGTCAATTTTCCTGGGGTTACAGAGGGTCAGGAACTGGACTTCTGTCCTTTCATGTATCAGTTGTCTCACAAATTTAACAAGATCTTCACAGAAAAACTAAGCTGCCTATCATGTCAATTGAAAGCCCACTCTTTTTACTTGAAGCTATCATGTCGGTGAAAGGGGAAAAAAAAAATAGTACCAACTAGGTATGGAAGCTCGTACCTATACTTAATCTCAACAGTCAGGAGGATCATGGACTCAGAGTCAGTCTGGGCTATAAACCAAGGCCGTGTCTCAAACACACACACACACACACACACAAGCATAATACCAATTTTTAGAAAGGTTATGTGTTGAAACAATAATAAAATTGTTCCTTAGCTAGCCCTGGTAGTACAAACCTGAAATCTCAATACTTGGGAAGAGGAGGCAGAAAGATGGGGAGTTCAGTATCATTCTCTTACATAAAGAATTTGAGGTCAGGGCTGAAGAGATGGTTCAGAGGTTAAGAGCACTGGCTGTTTTTCCAGAAGTCCCGAATTCAATTCCCAGCAACCACGTGGTGGCTCACAGCCATCTGTAATGAGATCTGGTGCCTTCTTCTGGCTTGAAGGGATACATGCAGGCAGAACACTGTATACGTAATAAATAAGTAAATCTTTGAAAAAAAATACTTTGAGGCCAGTCTAGGCTACATGAAACCACGCCTCAAAAGTCATTTTTTAACAGGGCAGTGGTGGCACATGCCTTTAATCCCAGCACTCGGGAGGCACAGGAAGGCAGATCTCCGTGAGTTTGAGGCCAACCCAGTCTACACAGTGGATTCCAGGACAGCCAAGACTACAAAGAGAAACCCTGTTTCAAAGCAAAAAGCAAAAAAACAAACAAAAAAATTGTTTAAATAAAGTAATAAATGGAGATGGGGGAACCCAAGTACTTTTATATTCTTGGTATAAATTCCAGAACCTTTTGTTATAATCTTAGTTTTGGAAACAGAAAATATAATGTAGTGAAATTTCAGAGAATACTACACAAACCCTGAGCGCACATTGTGACAGAGTGTCAAGCGAATGTGTCATTGCAAATGACATCAGGGACTTAGATCAGCCATTGCTTCCTGCTGCCTCTAAGCTGCAGAGTCTAGCATGGATTACTTTCCTGTTTCAGATCCCCAGTACAGGGAATCACTCCATTATGCTGACTTCTTCTATGTAACACTTTGTGCCTGAAATTCTTCACTGCTTCATTGTTGCTTGGGGCTGTAACATGTTGACTGGAGTTGAGCTTCTCTGGGTTTAGGGGGAAAGGAAGGTGCAGGAGAATGGAACTCAGAGCCTGGCACATTCTTTTTATTTATTTATTTATTTTTAGTTTTCCTTTTTCTTTCTTTCTTTTCTTTTTCTTTTTATTCTTCGTTTGTTTTTGTTTTGGGGAGACAGGGTTTCTCTGTGAAGCTTTGGCTGTCCAAGAATTCACTCTGTAGACCAGGCTGGCCTTGAACTCACTAAGATCCACTTGTCTCTGCCTCCTGGGATTAAAGGCGTGCATCACCACTGCCCAGCAAGCCTGGCACATTCTCTTTTTTTTTAATATTTATTTTTTTTATGTATACAATATTCTTTCTGCATGTATGCCTGAAGGCCAGAAGAGGGCACCAGACCTCATTACAGATGGTTGTGAGCCACCATGTAGTTGCTGGGAATTGAACTCAGGATCTTTGGAAGAGCAGGCAATGCTCTTAACCGCTGAGCCATCTCACCAGCCCCAAGCCTGGCACATTCTAAGCAAGCAGTCTGCCACTGAGTTCTATCCTCAGCCTTTGGTTTTTATCTTTCTGAGAAAGAGTCTTGCTGTGTAGCTTATGTTGGCCTTGAACTTACTAGAAGTTTGAAGCCAGAGAAACTCGGGCATTCTTCATGGCTTGACTTCCCAAAAGCTGAAATTATAGTGTTTCCCACCAACTGGGCCTTCTCACTGTTCTGTAGTGTTTTGTTGTACAAGTATGCCACCATTACTAATCCATTCTATTAATGTGTTTTATTAATATATATTACTTATTATTGAGACAGGGTATCAATAGGCTTTCTATATAGCCATGGATAGCTTCAAGCCCACAGAGGTTCTCCTACCTTTGCCTCCCAACTTTTGAGATTATAGGCATGTACCACCATGCCTGTTATTTAGTCCATTTAAATGTAGACAGAAAAATGCATTCAACTGTATTCAGCAACATTTCTGTAAATTTATCCTCTAGAGATATTCCAAAGTATGCAACATACATGGAAATTAATGAAATATTATTTTAATTGTGAAAAAGTTCCAAAGTATGCAACATACATGGAAATTAATGAAATATTATTTTAATTGTGAAAAAGTAAGAAAGAACTTCAGTTTCTGTTAGTAGATAATCCATTCAGATTGTGTGTTGGTGGTGGGGCCATAAGGAAAAGAGCATCACCAAACTGACTTTGTTCACATAAAGTAAACCCAAAGCCAGTGCGATGAGTAGGTGCTTACCGCCTAGCTTGATGAGCTTACCTTGATTGCAGGAACCCACAGGCTCGAAGGAAAGAACAGATTCATGCAAGTTGTCCTCTGACCTCTGCATACATTCACAAAGGCACACATGCATAAACCCATTTTACTTTTTTTTCTAATTTTTTAAAGATTTATTTATTTTTATGTATTTTATGTATACACATGCTCTATCTGCATGTATGCCTGCACACCAGAAGAGGGCATCAGCTCTCACTACAGATGGTTATGTCACCATGTGGTTGCTGGGAATTGAACTCAGGACCTCTGGAAGAGCAGCCAGTGCGCTTAACCTCTGAGCCATCTCTCCAGCCCCCTAAAGTCCAATTTCTTTAAAAAACAAAAAAACAAAAAAATGCATACGCACGCGCATGTGCACACAACACACACACACAATCTTTTTGCCAGGCATAGTGGTGTGCACCGTTAACACTAACTCTTGGGGGGCAGAGGTAGGAGGATATCTGTTATGTGTGAGGATAGCTTGATCTACATAGTGAATTCCAGGCCACCCAAGACCCTGTCTCAGGGGGAAATTGGATAAAAGGTCCATGGTTATAGTGAGAGGCAGTTTAGTTTATAAAGATAAGCAGCACAAGAGGAAACAGCACTTTCTCTTGACAACACTTTCAAAATAGAAGTGGTACCCTCGTACCTGCTTTTAAAGCCTTGAGTTCAGCCTAGCTCTCTCCCCATCCTCTCCAGCCTGTACAGTCTGAAGCATCCTAACTCTACCCTGGCTTCCTTTCCTTCCCTTGGAGCCCTTCATTCCCCCTAGAACTGCTGTAGCCTGCTTTCTTAAACGGAACTTGAACCATGTAACTCTTCTATTGCCTCTCTACCAAAACCATTGTATGGCCCCTTAGGCCTCACGGGAGCTGGTACCTTCCTGTCTCTGTGACTTTGCCGCCCCACACGTCCTCTCGCTCGCTGTCCTGCAGCCCGGCTCACATCCATCACACCCACTATGTCTAGTTCACCGCAAGACAGCCCTGGCATTTGTATTTCAACTCCACACCCCTCCATCGGAGTCCTCCTTGCCCAAACTGAAACCACGTTCCTCTGTTCTCCCTCTGAATTGCCAGTCATCCCCTCTTGCTCTCACAGCCACTGGCCAGCATTCTTTGTATCTATTTCTTTATTGATTTGCTTTTTTTTCCTTTTGTTGAGTGCAAACTCGAAAACAGAAAAGCTCTTATTGCTCTTTATCATACCTAGAACTACCTGACTAACCTGGGAACTTACTAATAAATATTCAACACATTTCATATTCAAATGAGAGTACTAATCTACAAATCAAATCCACCTTGAGTTCTGAGTTTGAAAGCCGCTAGTCAACCACGCACAGAATTGTACGCTGTAGGCCAGGTGATGGTGGCGCATGCCTTTAATCCCAGCACTCGGGAGGCAGAGGCAGGCGGATCTCTGTGAGTTCGAGACCAGCCTGGTCTACAGAGCTAGTTCCAGGACAGGCTCCAAAGCCACGGAAAAACCCTGTCTCGAAAAATCAAAAAAAAAAAAAAAAAAAAGAATTGTACGCTGTAAGTCATACAGGCTATAACCAAGTTTATTTTACCAGTAGAAAAGGAAAGTTAGAAAAAGGGGTGTGGGCAGAGCTAGAAGATGGCCCAAAGGTGTCTTAATAGGATTAAAATGTTTTTAACAAACATGACACAATAACTTTCCCAACTTATTTTATCGTATAAATCAAGCCAGACTGCGTCACTAAAATCTGAGCCAATTGAATATAAAGTTTGTAACTATCGCTTGCAAGAGTACAGAAAGGTTCAATCACACAGCCTGTGAGGGTCATGGAATGTGGGTTAGAAGCCGTTCTGTCCAGGGCTTCTGTCTTGAGTGTCATGCATCTCCTAGCTTACGTTTGACTTTACTTCTGTCTGTGCTTCTGAGAAAACAGACGTGCAAAGCATTGGCATGGTAGCAGGAGCAGTGACGGGCATCGTGGCCGGAGCCTTCCTCATTTTCCTCTTGATCTGGCTGCTAATCCGAAGGAAAAGCAAAGAGAGATATGAGGAAGAGGAGAGACCTAATGAGATTCGGTAAGCGTCCCAGCTTCTGCAGACTCCCTTTACAGGCCCGGTCCATAGTAACCGCTCAGTATAAACCGCCCTCTTCCCCTCTGCACTGTGGATCTCTTCAAAGGATCATTCTGGCAGGAGGGAAATTACAGTGTAGGGATAGGAGGTGTGACTCACTTTATTGGGAAACCGTCCTTGCTCTGGCCTGTTTTCCGTTGCTGTGATAAACATCATGACCTAACGCAGCAGTGTGGGGGAGAGAAGGATTCATTCCCCTTAGAGCTACGGTACAAAGGGAATTCAGGGCAGGAACTCAAGGCAAGAGGCTGGGGGCTGACAGCTGAAGCCGACGCACTGTGCTTATTGTCTTGCTCCTCATAGCCTGCTCGGCTGCTTTCTTATAGAACCAGCATCACCCACCGAGGGGGCCCCACCCACAGTGAGCTGTGCTCTCTGACCTCACTCATCCATCCAGAAAATGCCCTACAGACTTGCCAGAAGACCTGTGTGGCGGTGATGTTTCCTTAGTTAAGGCTCCCTCTTTCTAGATGACTCCACCTTGAGTCAAGCTGACAATCAACCAGTATATTTTTCAACTTTACTTCTGATTCATTACCACTTAAAAAGGGTTTATAATAAAGGATGATATAACCCTACAGGACATGAAAGGATTTAAGTATACAGACCCCAAAATCAAGGCAATTCTATCCAGACCATCTCAAGTTGAGCCACACATATCCTTCCGGTGCAACTGGTGGGGCCTCTGGGAAACAAACATTTCCCTAAACTGAGCTTTAAGTCTTACAAAACAAGGAAGTGCTTTGTTCCTTAACCGAGGCCTTCCTTCCGAGGTTTTTGGCTTGAGGAATTTATTGAAGAAAAAAAAATCTCAGTAGGAAATAACTTTAGTGAGAGTCACCACACCCCTGGCAGTCCTGAAGTTTATCTTTGCTGTCTTCCGTTCGTTTTTTCCCTTTCAGAGAAGATGCAGAAGCCCCCAGAGCCCGCCTTGTGAAGCCGAGCTCCTCTTCCTCAGGCTCCAGGAGCTCCCGCTCTGGCTCTTCCTCCACCCGCTCCACAGGGAATAGCGCCTCCAGGAGCCAGCGGACACTGTCCAGTGAAGCAGCGCCCCAGGCGGGGCTAGCCACCCAGGCGTACAGCCTCATAGGACCAGAAGCAAGAGGTTCTGAACCAAAGAAAGTGCACCACACGACCCTGACCAAAGCAGAAACCACACTCAGCACAATCCCCAGCCAGAGCAAAGCCTTCCAAACTGTCTGAATCACAGTGGACTTGACTTGCGCTTTTTCCGGAAGTCAGGATCTTAGCCTAGCCACTGGAGCTCCTTCACCAGCCACACAGCCCCTCAGCCAGATAAGAACTCACTTAAGTAGCTGCCAACATGGCACGGACCAGTTCTGATAAGCACCTTCCTTATAGGACACCAAACAATGGACGTAGGCAGGTCATCTCTATAAAGGCGCCTCATCGTGCCTTCCGAGCGGAGGTGGAGGGAAGGAGGGGCCCAAACCTAATTTGCTCACCAGAACTTGTGGTGAAAATAAGGGAGAGGTGAGGTGGCGTACACCTGAAACATCTTACACAGAAGAGTTGCAGGTCACCACAGTCAAGAAGAAATGGGAATCTCATAGGTCAATTTTCTAATCATTTCTGCAAATGTATCGGATTAGCGTGATTATCCAGATAGTCAAAAGAGAAACCCACAGCCTTATATTACACCTCTCTGCAACATGTATGGGGACAACTGCTTCAAAGAAACTCACATTAAAAAAAAAAGAAACACTTTTTTTTTCTACCTTGACTTGACTTCATGTATCATAAGGTCTGAACATTAATTTGGGGAGGATTTGAAATAGTGGGAAACAGAGAAAAGTGGTTTTCTCTTTCCTTATCTACAACCAACCTTCAGATTTCCATGGGACCCAAAATAATAACTAAGAAAAGAGTCCAACCAAGATGGGACACGATGCTGTGAAGAATTCCATTTTGATTTTCAGAGGATTGCTAATAGATAACAAAACATATATCCGGGGCAGTTGTGGGTCATTACTCAAATCTGACACCCCTAAAGACTTCCCTACTGGAAGTTTCTAGAAGAAACAAACATTCACGTCACTTAATGAATGTCCTTAGGGAACGAATCCTCTAGAGAACGTCTCTTAGGAAAGTTGAAAGATCCTCTTGCATTCTGCCTCCGGCTCCTCTCTCTGAGAACATGTGAAACCAGACTGTCAAGACTGACTGGAATAGAGAGGGACATTAGACCTTTCCCTTGCTAGGTCAAAGGACACTTAATACTGGCCCAAGCTTGGCGATTCTTCTGTTTCTTTCATTTTAGAAGGATGTGAATGTGGGACCTTTGAAGACTCTATAGGCCTTAAATTTTCAGGGATCATTTCCTAAAGGCATTGAAAATACATGGCCCATCACTTCCCACTAAAAGGCTGAACCGGAGGGAACCACAGTGTCTCTCTTCTCCGCCTTAGCCTCCAAGAAAAGTCTAACTGTGGGCTGGAAGGAACGCAGACTACCATTAGGGAGCAGGTGGTGAGAAAAACAAGTGGGTGAAGGGAGAGGGTTCAGCTAACAGCTGGTAATGCTTTCTTCCTTGTCGGCATTTGGGAAAGAATTAGCAGAAAGGATTCACCAGCAAAACTATCAAAACAACTCATACATGGGGGCGGGGAGAAAAAGGTGTCCAAGAAATTAAAAAACAAAAAACCAGCCAGTTCCCGATAAGTAACTTGCCTTTTGAATGGTTTTGACAAATAGATTACCTATGGCATAGCTGCTTAACCTGAATTAGCTCTTCAAGGAACAAGGCAAAGTCAGCAGGTCCTGGTGGGTGGAGCAGAGCGGTTCCTTTTGTCAACCAGGGCAAAGGCTAGAGGGAAGCGGGAGCCGCGGCGGCCACTGTGAAGAAGCAGTTTCTGAAGTGGCACTCAGATGCTGACAGGGAGAGGTGGATGCACAGTATCGCCCCGTTTCTCTGGCTTTTTATCCTGTGTTTAACTCGCCTAAGAGCATCCTCACAGAGTATACATACATTTCCTTCTAAAGTGCCTGGGAAATGATGTTTGCATTGAGTTGTCTGGATTGGTTTGGGTGAGCTTCACGCATGCTAAAGTGACGGTCCTAACCTGAGTTTTGTCTTCCTTTGAAAGAGGTAGAAATAAGAGACATTGGGGTTATAACACAAATGCCTGTTCATTTGAGAGAATAGGCATATTTGAAATGCTTCTTCTACTAACTCTTATCTCGTTGTAAGATTTTTTTTTAAGCCCTTTACTCTGACTACATTTTTATTCTTCCTGGAGGATGGTATCCAGGCAACATGCCTCTTCTGCTATGTAATTCTGAGAATTCTCCTTCCTGGAGTCCCTGAGCCAAAGGAGCTTACCATGAAGGCTGCAGCTGGGTCGTCACTAGCAATCTTCTCAGTGCTTCCTGCCTTTGAGCAGCAGGGGTTTCCTGTCTGTGCTCTCGGAGCAGGAACCAGTGCCCTTTGTTTGAGAAGGAAATCCCCATTATTTAAAAGCGTTGTTGGAAACTATCCAAAAATTACCTGGAAAATTCATTCCCAATGGAAAACTACAATAAGGACAAAAACGAGATTGTAGTAGGCTGAGAAATTCTGAGAGATAAGGCACTGAAGTCGTAGCAATGACAGAGCTCCTTCCCTTTGAATCAGGCGGTCAGCTTCAGCAAGACAGAGGGCCGGCTGCAGATGCAGTGAGAGCCACCACAGGCTCCAAACCTTAGTCCCCTGATTGTGCAAACCAAGCTGAGCGAGTCCTTAATGTGAAGCAAATAGAAAATGAAAAAAAAAATGATGAACAGAAGCCAAATAAATAAATAAAATAAAAGTTTGTAAGAGAAAAATGCAGATGGAAGGATGTGGACGTTTAAAGAGAAACCATTTCAATAAAATACATAAGCCAAACTCAAATCTGTAAAATAGTGAAATGGAGGTTTTTGTTCTTATGTTGTATGCAAAGGACTTTAGAATTCTGTTCCAAAAAGTTTTTATCGTTTGCCTCATTTCTGGTGTTTTTCTGTTTCTGTGTCACTCGGCTTTGTTGCCTTGTAAACGAAACTGTACGCGTCACAAAGCAGTTACAGACTGTAACTCCATGTGTATCGGCAATGAAAAAATAAATAAGGGAAGACAGTACTGTAGGAGAAGCTGGGGTCCGTGGAACCTGCACTGGAAAAATACATTTATTTATACCTTGCTGCCAAAAGGACAGAGCTCAGGCCAAAAGATCTATTAGTGACTGACTTCAGTCACAAGTTTATTGTTAATCCCAGAGATTCAAAGAGAAAGACCGCCGACCCAAATCATCATGGCCAAATTAATTAAAGTAAGCAATTAGTTAAAGCAGGTGGGTTCATTAGTATAGGAAGTACTTTTTCCTCTCAGGGCAAGATGTTGAATGTAAATGGCACAAAGGCAGTTGCTTTTAAGGACTTCGTCAAAATCATCAAACAGTAATTGTGAAGCAAGTATTTTGTGCCCAGGTTAAGGACCAACTAAGGGATCTGAAGAGAAGTCACTCCCGAGTGTTACAGAAATCTGAATACAGCTTTACAGACATCCACATGAATCTCATGGCAGAAAGTAGCAGCCTGGTGGTAGTTCCCTGTAACAACTCTCCTGGAGGAAGGGTTGAAGTTCACCCAGCCCGGCATACGTGAAACATGTCTCAGAAGGAGACAGAACAATAATGGTAGCTATCATTTACTGAGACATCATGTGACAGTCACTGTTTCTTTGGAGACAGGATCTCATGTAGCCCAGGCTGGCTAAATACCTGTAGCTAAGGATTACCCTGAGGTCCTGACCCTTCTCATCTCTACCTCCTAGAGTGCTGACATTATGAACAAATTTCACTATAGTTAGCTTTTCCTCCCCTGACTCCCAAACTCTAAATATAGTATACATTTTCTCCCAACTCCATACTCATATTAATTCTATAAAAAGATGCTTGCGTTCTCATTTTATTTATTCATTTATTTGTTTGTTTGTTTTGTCTTGTCCTGTTTTTTTGCAACAGGATCTCTCTGTGTAACCATGCTGGCTCTCCTAGAACTCACTCTGAGAGACCAGGCTGGCCTCGAACTCACAGAGATCTGTCTTCTTCTGCCTCCTGAGTGATGGGATTAAAGGTGTGCGCCACCACTACCTGGCTAGTTTCTAAAATGAGAATGCACCAGATGGTGGTGGTGCATGACTTTAATCCCAGCACTCAGGAGGCAGAGGCAGGCGGATCTCTGTGAGTTCGAGGCCAGCCTGGTATACAAGAGCTAGTTTCAGGATAGGCTCTAAAGCTACAGAGAAACCCTGTCTCGAACAACAACAGAAAGAAAGAAAAAAAGAAAGAAAGGAAGAAAGGAAGGAAGGAAGGAAGGAAGGAAAAGAAAGAAAGGAAACAAAACTAGGTCTTGGAAAGACAGCTTAGTCCCCAGTACTCACATGGTGGCTTAAAATTGTCTGTAACTCCAGTTCTAAGGGACCCAATGCCCTTTTCTGACCTGCTCAGGCTTCTTCATATATACATTACATATATACTCATGCAAGTGCATACATATACACATAAAAGTAAATAAAATTAAAAAACAAATAAGAAGGCTATGAGATGGTGACACATGCTTTTAATCCCAGTACTCTGGTGACAGAGGCAGATCAGATGGATCTCCGTGAGTTTAAGGCCAGCCTGGTCTATAGCATGAGTTCCAGGACAGCCAGGGCTACACAGAGAATCCTTGTCTGGAAAAGCAAAATCAAAACAAACAAAAAACAAAGGAGAAAACTAAAACACAGAGAGTTTAAGTCAGTAGCAGAGCTCAAATTTAAGCACGGTCGTGTCAGTGTGGCAACAAGACATGGAATCCCAGCACTCGGGAGGCAGAGGCAGGTGGATCTCTGTGAGTTTGAGGCTAGCCTGGTCTACAGAGCTAGTTCCATGACAGCTGGGGCTGTTATACAAAAAAAGCCTGTCTTGAAAAACCAAGAAAAAACAAAAACAAAACAAAAAAAACAAGTAGCAACCTGAGCAACATAGCAAGACCTCATCTCAAAGACAATTATACATGTACCCAGTCATACACCATTGGGTTCCATCAGAACTGATAGAGCTTGACTAACTGCTCAGCCCTAAAATCCTTACAGATTTACCCAAGACCAGGGACTTTGCCTTCCTTCTGCTTGGTTTCTCATCCCTACCCTTTTCAATCTACACAGTGAAGATCATTCATACAGTACAAATTATTTTATAAACATATATATATATACATATATATATATACATACACATACATATCAAAGTAATCATGGGTATAGATGAAATGATGCACACAATTTTCAGAGTCTGTTTTTTAAAGATTTATTTATTATACATACAATGTTCTGCCTGCACACCAGAAGAGGGTACCAGATCTTATAGATGATTGTGAACCTGCTGGGAATTGGAAGAGCAGCCAATGCTCTTAACTTCTGAGCCATCTCTCCAGCCCCATTCAGAGACTATTAAGCATAGAGTATCTTGAACACACTGAGATTAAATTGATAATAACGATTAAGATATACTAATTTTATTAAAAATTGAGCTCAAACATTTAAGGGACCCCAGATGTAGAAGTCAAAAGGGTCACAGCTGGGTGAGTGGTACATGCCTATAATCTCATCACTCAGAAAGTTGATGCAAGCCTGGCGGTGGAGGCGCACGCCTTTGATCCAAGCACTCGGGAGGCAGAGGCAGGCGGATCTCTGAGAGTTCGAGACCAGCCTGGTCTACAGAGCTAGTTCCAGGACAGGCTCCAAAACCACAGAGAAACCCTGTCTCAAAAAACCAAAAAAAAAAAAATCTAAAAGATTATACACACATATAAGTTATTGTTACCAGAGAATACATGTACATATGAATCCTGTTTGTACTCTACACAGAATATAAATTTGGGCACCCTGACCTTTCAATACGACCTGTATCTGCCTTATTAGATTCTCGTTAAACAGCAAGGGTGTGACAGATTCAGATTTTATGGATCTTGGGTCTCTGAGATAAAAATGATAAATGTTCTATCACTTCCAGGCTTAAGAATCCTAAGTGGGGGGAAGGTAAGGAAATGAGATTGTAGATAAAGGACAAAAAAATAAAGTCCTACACATCTTATTTAACCTCTAAAGCTCTGAAGTCTTTGCACTATAGGAAGAGAACCAAAAGGTCCCAGTGTTTTTTTTTAATATTTATTTATTCATTATGGATACAATATTCTGTGTGTATGTCTGCAGGCCAGAAGAGGGCACCAGACCTCATTACAGATGGTTGTGAGCCACCATGTGGTTGCTGGGAATTGAACTCAGGACCTTTGGAAGAGCAGACAATGCTCTTAACCACTGAGCCATCATCTCTCCAGCCCCCAAGGTCCCAGTGTTATACACATTTGTAATCACAGAACTCAGGAGCTGAGACAGCAGGATGGCTGTGAGTTTGAGACCACCAAGGCCTACACACTAAGTACCAAGCCAACATGGTAAGACCCTGAGCGGGGGGGGGGGGGGGGGGGGGGGGGGGGGGGCTGAAATTATCTCTACGTCAGCACACAAGAAAATGTCTGGAATTTAAATTCCGAGCCGACTCCAAAGTCCAGGCTCGCCTCATTCCCCGACCCCAAAGCAAGATGGTGTGCTCCATACTGATAAGGCCTTCCAGGGACTAACACCTCACAGACTTCAGGATTCTGAGATGCTAGGAAAGCCACACAGTCCAATTCATTTGAATGTGATTTAGTTCCCTTTCCTACCAATGCTGGGATTTTAAGAAGTGGAAAACAAAATGTTTTAAAAAGACAGATACTCCAGCCAGACCGAGTTTAAATTCCTGACTCCAGGAAAGCACGCTTCTCATAAAAGACTTGGTTCATTCCTCTCCAGAAGAGAAGAGGAAACACAAGAAACAGGGCTTGCTGCAGAGCCCATTCCTGCTTGAAGGACACGAAATACATGGGATGCCAGCGAATGTCCGTGGTCTTCAGGCACATGAAAGCACAGACAGGAGTCTTCTGTGCTGGCTGCTCTGCTGGCCTCAGCAGACTCCAGGAGGAAAGGCAAAGCTTACAGAAGGACGTTTCCTCTGGAGGAAGCAGAGCTACAAGGATCCAAGTCAAGATGGCAGGGAAGCCATCCCAGTAAATACATTTTAGATTAAAGGGGAAAAAAACAATCTGACCATGTGGTTTGCCAGTTTAATCATTTAACCTTTCCTCATCTACAAAAAGAAAATCACAAAAAAAACCCCCAAAAAAAATAAAAATAAAAAAAAGAAATTATTTCTCCTATGTAACTATAACTTAGTAACCACTGATAAACTTTACCCCATCCTTCTAATAAAGTGTAGGTCATGTTTTCAAAAAAAAAAAAGAAAAAGAAAATCACTATAATTCTTACTTTTATTTTTTTAAATATTTATTTATTTATTATGTATACAATATTCTGCCTGAAGGTCAGAAGAGGACACCAGACCCCATTACAGATGGTTGTGAGCCACCATATGGTCGCTGGGAATTGAACTCAGGACCTTTGGAAGAACAGGCAATGCTCTTAACCTCTGAGCCATCTCTCCAGCCCCTCTTACTTTTATTTTTGGTGTTGTTGTCTGTTTGTTCTGTTTGTTTTTTGGAGAAAGAGTTTCTTTTTTCTTTCTTCCTTTTTTTTTTTTTTTTTTTTTTTTAAATTTATTTATTAGTTATGTATACAGTTAGCCAGAAGAGGGCACCAGACCTCATTACAGATGGTTGTGAGCCACCATGTGGTTGCTGGGAATTGAACTCAGGACCTTTGGAAGAGCAGGCAATGCTCTTAACCGTTGAGCCATCTCTCCAGCCCCTTCCTTTTTTTTTTTTTTGAGACAAGGTTTTTCTGTAGCTTTGGAGCCTATCCCGGAACTAGCTCTTGTAGACCAGGCTAGCCTTGAACCCACCTGCCTCTGCCTCCCACGTGCTGAGATTAAAGGCAATTAAAGGCATACACCACCACCATCCAGCCATATAATTCTTACTTCTTAAGATTTGGGACTAGAAAAAAAAAAAGATTTTGGGCCGGGCGGTGGTGGTACATGCCTTTAATCCTAGCACTTGGGAAGGCTGAAGCAGGCAAAGCCAGCCTGGTCTACGGCACTAGTTCCAGGACAGCTAGGGCTGTTAAACAGATAAATCTTGTCTTAAAAATATAAAAACAAAAAAAAGATTTGAGTAGAAATTTTTGTTGCTCTGGAGACTGGGTGTCAGTCACTATTAGCTCAGGCTCAAACTCATGATTCTCTGGCCTCTACATTTTGAGTGCATACGTGCACTTATGACCTCGTAAAGAAAATTAAATGAGTAGTGTGTGCCACTTAAAATAGTACTTAGCA